CTCCAGGATGAATCTGTTTGTTTTCCTAGCAGTCCATGGTATATTCAATACTCTTTTCCAACACCACAGCTAAAAGGCATCAATTCTCCTTCTATCATCCCTAGTCATTGTCCAGCTCTCTGATACATAACAAGTGATTGCAAAGACCATGGCATGTATCAGGTGCACCTTAGTCTCCAGACTGACATCTTTGCACTTCCGCACTTCAGAGAGGTCTCTGACCACAGACTCTCCCATTGCTACATGTCTTAATTTCCTGACTGCTGGTGCCAAGAGTGTTGACTGTGGATCCAAGCAAACCAAAACTGTGAACAATCTCAATCTTTTCACCATCCATTATGATGCTGCCAATTGGTCCAGTGGTGAAAATCTTTGTTTTCTTGATATTGAGTCTCAATCCATACTAAAGACTGCAGTCCCTGACCTTCCACAGCAAGTGCTTCACGTCCTCCAGTTTCAGGAAGCAGGGTTGTGTCATCTGCATAATGCAGATTGTTCATGAGTCTTCCTCCAATCCTGATGCCACATTTCTCCTCATAGAGCCCAGCCTCCTGGATAACCTGTTCTGCATAAATATTGAAAAGGTATGGAGACAGGATACATCCCTGGTATACACCCTTCCCAATTTTGAACCACGCAGTGTTTCCTTGCAATTGTTTCTGACAACTGCCTCCTGGTCCAAGTGTAGGTTTCACATCAGCACGATCAAGTGCTCTGGGATTCCCATTCTTCTCACAGCCAGCCACAGTTTGTTATGTTAGCTACAGTATCCCTAGTACCAAGGCCCCGTCTAAATCCAGCCTGCATTTCTGGTAGTTCTCTGTTGATGTGCTGTTCCAGTCGTTTTTGGATAATCTTCAGCAAACTCTTGCTTGCATGAGATATTAATGATATTGTTCGATAATTTCTATACTCTGTGGGATCACCTTTCTTTGGAATGGGAACAAACATAGCAGGGTCCAAAATCAAGCAAGCAGGAAGCTACAGCGCCGCCTCTCCGCTCGGGTCGTACCCTCCGTCGCCGCCGCCTCTTCCTCCGCCTCCTCCTCCGCCTCCCCCTTCGCCTCTTCCTGCCTCCTCCCGGCTTCCGCCGCCAGAGACGCTCCCGTCGGATCCCAAGCCTGCGGCGAAGCTTCTCCCCTGATTTTTCCCCCCCTTTCCTCGCCAGTACAGCGTCCTGACACGGTGATCCGGACGGGCCCCGCAGGCATTTTATCCGCTCACCGTCCTCACACTAGTATCTCATGTCCACTATCCAGAACCTCCAATCTTTCGACCCCTTTGCTGATGCAACTAAAGGTGACGACTTACTCTCGGCAGGAATTGAGGATTACATTCACATAAGAATCCAGCAACGGAACGGCCGGAAGACGCTGACCACTGTGCAGGGCATTGCGGGTGATTATGACAAGAAGAAACTTGTGAAAGCTTTCAAAAAGAAATTTGCCTGTAATGGTACTGTGATTGAGCATCCCGAGTACGGGGAGGTTATTCAGCTTCAAGGTGACCAAAGGAAGAACATTTGCCAGTTTCTCCTGGAGGTCGGCATTGTCAAGGAGGAACAGCTTAAGGTTCATGGATTCTAAAATGAACCTTAAACACCTGGAGAATTTCTTGAATACTTTTGTTCTCTGCTCCAAGTTTGGCTGCCTTGTGAAATGATTCTCTGCAGTAAAAGGACTTTTCATTTATTTAATCATCCAAACTCCCGTTCACATCTGCATGATTCCAGAAAACACGGGGTATATAGGCTAGTAACACATAAGAAGATTGCATTAAGATGGTAACAAAACCCCGTATTCATCTGACATGTTTCCAATGGAAAAGATTTTGTTTCGAGTGCTTATTGTTTAGTTTATTACTTTTCATTTGATTAAGTGTGTTTTGTTGTTGTTGTTGTTGTATTAAAACCCTGTATGTTGCAGCTTAACAATACAAAGAATATGTCTGGGGGAAAAAATCAAGAAAGCAGGGTGCCAGTGATGTATCTTTTCTCTTTACTTTTTCAATCTATATGTGGGATAGATTATTTAGGAGCCTGGAATTTATGAAGAATGTGGCATCAGGATTGGAGAAAAACTCACCAACCAACTTGTGCAGATGGTGCAATCTTGCTCACCAAAACTGAGGAGGATATGAACATTTGTTATTGTTAATTATCCTGCTATTGACATTACTGTAAAAATTTCTATTCATGTCTAAGTTCTGATTTCCTTGGGCTATATTCCTAGTTAACAATAAATATTGGAGAGAGAGAAAAAATAAACTGAGAGAACTTGAAGCCTTTGCTGCAGAAAGTCAGAGTAGAGCTTTCAATATGGATTGCATCTCAACATCAAGAAAATAAAAGTTCCTCACCATTGGGTCAGTTGGCACTGTCATGATAGACGGAAAAAAGATTGAAGTTATTAACAATTTCATTTTGCTCTGACCCACAGTCAAAACTCTTGGCATCAACAGTCAGGAAATCAAAAGACTGGGAAAATCTGTTGTCAAGGACGTCTCTAGCATGCTGAAGAGCAAAGATGTCAGTTTAAAGACTAAGGTGCACCAGATCCAGGCTATGTTCTTCTCAATTGTTTGCTATGCAGCTAATAGCTGGACAATGAATAAGGATGACAGAAGAAGAAACAATGCCTTCGAGCTGTGGTGCTGGAGAAGAGTACTGCACGTCCAATGGTCTGTCAAGAGAACAAATAAATCTATCCTGAACAGGGTGAAACCAGGTTGCTCCTCAGAGGCAAGGATTTTGAAATTCCTTCTGACATACTTTTGACATGTGGCCAGGAGGGACCAGTACTTGGAGAAGGACATCATACTTGGAATGATAGAGGGTCAGTGCCAGAGAGGAAGACCCCAAATGAGTTGGACTGACACAGTGATAAGGGCAATGGGGCCAGATGTCTTGGAGATAGTGACACTGGCTCAGGATAGGACAAGGTTCAGAGCTATTGTTCTTAAGGGTTGCTAAGAGTCGTAATTGACTGTTACTATGTGCAACTCATAGCGACCTTATGTACAACAGCCCTAAACCCTGCTCTATCCTGTGTCAATCGCCCTGCCTCTGACACAGCCATCCTGATTACCCCAGTCACTGAATCAATTCACCTCATAGAGGGTCTTCCCCTTTTGCGCCATCCCTCCACCCTCCCAAGCATTATTCCCTCTCCAAAGACTTGTCCCTCCTTACAACATGTCCAAAGTATGTCAGACGAAGCCCCAGAATCATTGCCTCCAAGGAGCAGCCCGGTTTAACCCTCTCCGGGATGAATCTGTTTGTTTTCTTGGCAGTCCATGGTACATTCAGTACTCTTCTCCAGCACCACAGCTCAAAGGCATCAATTCTCTTTCGAGCCTTCCTAGTCATTGTCCAACTCTCTGATGCATAACAAGTGATTGCCTGTATCAGACACACCTTGGTCTCCAGAGTGACACCATTGCTCTTCAGTACTTTGAAAAGGTCCCTAACAGCAGACTTCCCCATCGAAATAAGTCTTTTAATTTCCTGGCTACTGGTGCCAAGAGTGTTGACCGTGGAGTCAAGCAGACTAAAGTTTTTAACAATCTCAATCACTTGAGCCCCCTTATGTAAATATATATACACATGTTGTTATTGTTAAGTGCCATTGAGTCTCAGGCAACTCAGAGCGACCCTGTGAAGGAGAGTCCTCGACGCTTGGATATACACATATAAATATATATTTTTGCTTTCTGCCTCTCTAGGGAAGTCTGGTGACCTGGTTGTTGTTATGTGCCCTCTAGTCAATTACGAAGGTGACTTAGAGGTAAGGAGTTCTACAGTAACCCAAAGGCTCTTAATTCAGATGCATCCAAGGAAGAAGGATGGGCAATCACCTGTGTGATTTATTGTCTCTGAAAAGCTCCTGGAAAGTCAGCTATGAGTTAGTTCCAATTAATGACATATAACAACAAGATCTATCAGTATCTCACATTTTATCTATCCTTTTTTTATGGGTCCTTAGACTATTTCCACTTTTACTATTAAGAATAATGCTGTGAAAATGCGTGTACACATGCATCTTTTTAATAAAGTTGCTGCTTTCTTTTGGGAATTCCTGGAAGTAAAACTGCTGGATCTCATGTACATTGTGTTTGTTATTTTTAAGTGCTTCCCCTTTCTTGTCAAACCCAGAGTGGCTCTGTCATTTTGCATTTTCCAAGGCATTTCTCTCTTTAGCTCATCATTTATATTAATAATTTTGAGTGCTTCCAGTCAATAAATTTTGGTCTGATCCCAGTATGGACAAAGGTGTCTCCCCTGCATCCAACATGCCCCTAAGCCAGCCCACCAGTCTCCCCTTTGGGTGTCAGGAGTGTCCCCTCTGGGTGTCTGCCTCCTAACAGATCTCCCTGCCTCTCCTCTTTTGGGGCTGTTGATGGAGCAGCCGAGGCCTGGCAACAGGCCCTGCTTTTGGAGGGCAGGGCTAGAGGACCGGGAAGCTAGAGGACCTGCAAGCTGCTGAAATGTGCTTAATTTAATTCTTCGCTCTCAGCAGAGCTAGAGACCTGAGTGCTGTCCATCATTTGAAATCCCTGTCCATCAGCCTCACCGGTCTGTATAGACATCGTTTGGCCCTGTGCCTTCCCCTACCTGCTTGCTCACAAGTTTTATCTCTGAGAGTAACTGGGCTTATTTTGCACAGGTCAGGCCTGATGGATGTAAAACTGTTGGAAAGTGAGTCTTGCTCTATGTCTGCCTTTTATCTCTGAAGAAAAGCCAGTTCCCTGCAAGCGACACTGCGCTGCGGTTTATGAATATTTTCTGCGACTAAACCCACACCATCCAAAGAAGTTGGTTAGAATGTTCCTTTTAACAAAACCTATCCTTTATTTCTCCCACTGGCTCCCTTTTGAGGGTCTTGGCAGAACTCCTGGTCGGAGTAGCTGGCCTAAGTCCTGCTTCTGCCTCTGAGAAGCTTCTCCCTCATGCAAAATAGGGACCTGAGTACTTGACTCAGGTGTAGCTCCTGGGAAGGAGGTCATGGATGGTCCCTGTGACTGGACATCAGGGAGCTCTTGACCTCAACCTGGACTTGAGGCTTAGGAGACCCCTGGGACTCAACTTTGCTTTCAGATGAGCTCTCACCCTGTTGCTGCTCACTGCCCTCTCCAGGGTCAATATCCATCTGGTCCTTGGATTTGGAGAAATTTGAGCCAAGATTCAAACTGGAGCCAATGCGAGTGCCAGAGGCAATGTGATTAATGGAGTAAACATGTGTCCTGCAGCCAGTATGGGAACTGGAGCCAGCAAGGAAACTAGAGGCTGCTGACAGCTTAGGCTCTGAAGGAGTAGGGTGCTTCCCCCCCTCCTCCTCTTCCTCCTCCTCAAACTCCTGCTGGCTGAGAAGCTCCGTAATGGAGAAGTTGTGTTCAATAGCCTTGTCCTGGTCAGTGGCAGGTTTGGGCAGAGTGGAGGGTGACGTGGAGGGTGACCTGGCATGTTGGGCATTGGGATGCCGGCATACCCATGCAGCCTCCCCTAGTCTGTGCAGCAGGCATGTCCAGTTGACCTTTGAGGACAGGCGGATCCTGGAACCCTCCAGCTTCCTGAAGCCCAGGAAGAGGTCCAGGAGCACTTCAGTGACTGGGTAAGATATGAAGCCAAGCTGCTTGCCGAGGTTCTTCTCAAACTTATACTTGTAAAGGACCAAAGAGACAGCCTTTTCCACCAGGAAGCCAATGAACTCCTCCTCCAGAGGGCTGAAGTGGGACATGGAAGTCTTGGATGAGATGGGAGGAAGAGGCTTCTTCTTGTTGTTCTTGAGTTGGGCATTCTACACAGCAGCCAAGAAAGAAAAGACAAGGAAGACCATCATGATCCTGTTTCTGCCCTGTCAACCACCCTCCCCACAGTCATTATTACATCACACACTTGCTTCACTGGCAACCTACGATATTGGTCACAATGGGGACATGTCAGCACACCTGCATGCTCACCACACTCTTAGACTCGTCAGTCTTTGTCAAGGCCAGGGTCCACAGATGTAGCATCAACCATCCTGTGCCTCTCTGTCAAGGCCCCCGGGGTCCCTGGAAGGTAGTTAACACCCAGATCTGGCTATAGTGGTGAGCAGCTTGCTCAGGCCTTGTGGCTGCAGGAGAGGCAGAGGATGGTGCTGAGGACCCTCCAGGGGGAGGCCCTCCTCCTTTTCTTGGGCAGGGAAAGGAGGCAGGGGAAGCCCTTGGTTGGCTGTTGTTCAGTTGTTCCTAAGGGACAAGAAACTGCGTGTGTGTGTGTGTGTGTGTGTGTGTGTTACAAAAATCAAAGCAATGCTTTCCAGCCAGCTGTGGATCACAAGAACCCTCCACTGGGTTTGTGAGGCTGCAGATTGTGACAGGAGGAGACTGCCCGTCCTTCTCCCATGGAGCAGCTAGTGGGCTCAAGCTGCTGGCCTTTCACTGAGCAGCCCAGTCACACTACACACTATGGCACCAGGGCTTCAAAGTTTACATACAAAAATTTCTAAAAGGATGTAGAATAAAAAATAGCTTTTATTCATCTTTGACAACCCCTGGCAGTCATAGCTCAGCCAGGACTGCTGTTGCTAGTCCTTCATCACTCATCCCCTGCCTAGGAGGCATCCAGAGAGTGGAATAAAACATTGTCATCATGTGGACCCTTGACCAGGTGGCAGGGGACACAGCTTCCCTCTGAAGAGCTATTCCCCAGGTGCCCCCTTGAGGACAGCACTTCTGGACCCAAAGGGGTAGGAGGTGGAGAGAGACCACCCACCCCAGAGGGATGTGGGGAGATGTTGGAGGAGAGGTGGAGGGAAGAGAGATAGTAAGGAGGGGTCTGTGGGTAGGGCCCTGGGGGGGAGGGGTAGCCACGGCCAGAGGCCACGTCCACCCTGTTCCCAAGGGCTGGCAGAATCAAGTGCAGGCTTTGCCAAGGCTGGGCCCTTTGGCTGGGGCTTGGGGACTCAGTCATGGAATGAGCTGGGTTTGATTCTTTAGGGTCTGTGTCACATGCCTCATGCCAGGGTGCTGAAGGGCGAATGGCCTTGAGTTCTTCTATGGGGGTCACCTTAACCTTTAATTTGGTGGCCCCCTGGGTGCCAGAGCCAGCAGGGTCCTCTTTCTTGACTTTACCCCAGCCTTTGCCCCTGGAACCCTTTCTGCATCCCATTTTAGAGTGGCAGGACGTGACAGGGATCTGTTCAAAGGGCCTCTCTTTGACAGCAGGGTCCTCATAAGGTAAGGGTGATGTGGAGACTGATGACTCCAGATGCTGGTGACTCCACTCAGAATGAGCCAGTGGCTCTGGCTTCGGGGTAGCCATGTGGGCTGGTGAGCAGAAGAGAGGGCAGCCGTCATGGCGGCAGGCACTGCTGAGCTTGTCCATGGCCTGATGGACCACACGCTGCAGAGCGGGGAAGAGCTGATGCTTGGCCAGGAAGTCCAGGGTGTGGTAAGGCTCTCGGATCGAGCAGTAGCTGGGCAGGTCGAAGGAATCCGGCTGGTTCATCATGGACTTCATCTCCTTGTCAAATTCCCGCTTAAGAAAAGAGAGCTGCTTCTCAGCTAGCCCCAGCTCGTATGTGGAGGGTGTGCTCAGGCCAGAGCCCAGCAGGCCCGAGAACCAGGACAGGGGCTGCTCCGGCATCCACTGGTTGCTGGCCTGGCTGCACAGTGAGCCCCTCTGGGAGGAGGGCCTGCCCTGGCCTTTCTGCAGGAAGAGAGGGGCTCTGAGAAGCTCTGGGGGCCATCCTACCAGCCCAACCCAGCCCAGCCCAGGTCCTGGGTTCCCTCCTACCATCCCAAATATCACCCCTTTCTGCAGAAAGAGAGGGGCTCTAAGAGGCCTTGAGGGCCTGCTACCAGCCCAGCCCAGGCCTTGGGCTCCATCCTACTTCCCTGAAACATTGCCTCAGATCTCACCCCTTTCTGCAGAAAGAGGTGGGCTCTGAGAGATTCTGGGGCCACCATACTTCCCCCAATTATGGCTCCAGACCTCACCCCTTTGTTTTCCATCCGCAACAGGTGCTTGAGGCTCCTCTCCAGCAACTGTTTGTCCTTCACAGGGGGCAAGGCACCTATGCCATGGACACCCCGATCATTGTTCCTGCTGCACAAATCCAGCCTATCAGCCGAGACACTACAATAGGAATTGGATGTGGAGCTGGAGCAGGATGGGTAGTTGTTAAGGCGCCCAGTGCAGAGGGTGGGCTGGGTCCGGTGCCGGTGCACTGTGCTGAGGCTAGGCCGAACCCGCAACCGGCACCGGCTGCTCAGCTCCTTCAATGGGTCCTGCACCTCCAACAGTGGCTCCCCAGCTTGGGTTCTCATGGCTGTCATGTGCTCCGTTGCTTCTTCCACCACTGTCTGCAGACTATCCAGCACCTGGCCCTCCACCAAGAAGTCCAGGAAGCTGCTGAAAGGCTGGCTGCCCCACGCAGTTTGTTGGTGACCACGGAGGACTGAGCTATTGGGGGGGCCATAGGTTGGCAGCGAGTGCAGCTCACGACCCAGCTTGGAAGTTGGCCCCATTTCTGGGAACAGTGGCTTCCTGCGAGGCTGCACCTGAGTGGATAGACATGTCAATGTAGGCACAGCCTGCCATTTGAAGAGGTCTGTCTGGTACCCTTCTCACACCCTTGGAGACAGATGGGGTATAGGCAGTGAGAGGGACTGCTCTGGAATCAGAGAGCCCTGGGGTAGGCCCCAGGCTCTGCTACCTTCAGGCTATGTGACTCTGGAAAGTTGGCCTTTCTTGAGTGCAATTCTTCATTTGCAAAGTGGAGATCTTTTAATTAAGGCTGTCCTGAGCCTCCACCCCCCAGTTTTATTTCACCTGCAAAAGCCGACCACTTCTCTGGTATTGTCCCTCCCACGCTCCGTGTGAGCTGGTGATCCTGAAACTGCCTGGTGCTACAAGTTTTCATTCCAAAGGTGGGCAGATCAGTCTATTGTCCGCTGTGAGCTATGTTACCTGGAGCCCACACCCTGAGCAGACTGGGTACCTCTAGGCCAAGGTTCCAGCCCACCTAACCCCTACCAGACCTCTGGAGGCTGAGGGGCATGGAGAGAGAGGTTCCCAGGGGCCAGCTGGGGCTTAGAGGAGCCATCACCGGCAAAGGAAGACTGGTCGAGGGCCAGTGAGGTCCACAGAAATACGGGACATCTAGGCTGTGTCACAAACCCAGGCAGGCACACTTACCCGGGCCATGTATGTGATGTGACCGGCCTCATCGTCTGCTAGATACCCGGAGTGGTGGTGGCATCTGGCCATGGTGCTGACCGCCGGGTCAGAGGCCCTCTTCCACACACTTCAGTTGCTTGCACCATGCAGGCGAGGCTTCTTCCCTGAGGCAGAAGGGGTTAGGGCGGTGTGAGGGTTCGCCAGGATTTTCAGGCGTCCCATCCTCCGTCGTCTGCCAGTCAAACCTCTCTGGCCCTTCGCTTCCAACATAGCTTACCCTCCAGGCTTTGACAGCGACCTAGGGCATCTGAGGGTACAGTGTCATCTGGAACGGACCACTCCCTCTCAGACGTCTGTGTCCCATCCTATGCTCCCTCACCAGAGCGCACCTCTTTCCTGACCCTTCCTCCTTCCAGTTCTGGGGAGGATCCCTTACCTGAGTGCACGCCCAGCTCTTCACAGTTCCCCACTAAAACTTGAATACAGGGAGAAAGAGTGTTCATTTGCATGCTGAGTCCAGATTGGCTCACTAGCCTACCTCACAATGGTGAGGGCGGGGCCCTTTGTGGCCCCGCCTCCACTTGGTCCAGATCTGTCCCAGAGGACACAATGACCACATTAAACATGTAGAAAGCAAGACAGTCACCTTGCAAATAAAACTGGTTATCAACCATCTGATGTTGTAGAGCAACATCACAGCTTGCTCAAAGAAAAGCAGATGAAGTTTAGTGAGGGATGGAAGTGATCTGAAACTTCGCCTGACACAGGATGCAGGCAGCTGTTCCACAAACCAGGATAGACGTTTGTATTGTTGGCTCAGAAATGAAAAGTTATAAAATTCACAACTTGTTAAAAGATCATCAAAACAATTAAAGAATGGAGATCCAGAAACAAGAATTTGGTCATGATGGGTCCGTAACACTTTAGTGGGATCGAAAGACTGGTCAAAGGCACATTCAGTGCCTCAGAACTGCAGTCAGGACCAGTTTTCTCTGTTAACATTGTTCTTAGATCATGTTTGTTTCTGGAGGCCCATTGTAAAGATTTACTATGGTATCTTTGCACCATTTGGAGGCTAATTGTAAAGATTTACAGTGGGTCTTGCTGTATCTCAAGACTCCTCAGGTATAAACTGGATCATTACAACCATCAATAAAGTGACAGGATACTAACACACTGTTGCTAGGCACCATCAAGTCAGCATTGGAAATGACACAGATGACCCTAAGATGGTACAGGCTAGGACGAGGGTTCAGATCTTTGTTCATGGGTCTTTAGGAGTGATACTAAATGGCACCTAATAACAATAACATGAGATCTTTTTCATTCATAATTTAGTCCTTTCTATAACACTTTAGTAACAGAAAATAGTTTATGTTTTAAATATCCTGTCGTTAGGTGCTATCGAGTCAACTGCAACTTATAGTTACCCTATGCTCAGTAGTGCTGAACTCTGGCCTATCCTGAGCCAATCCCACTGTCTCTGACACACCTACCTTCATTACCCCTGTTACTGTTTCAATCCATCTCATCCAGAGTGTTCCTCTTCTGTGCCATTCCTCCACCCTACCAAGCATGATGTCCTTCTCCAAGGACTGGTCCCGCCTTGACAACATGCCCAAAGTATGTGAGATGGAGCTTCAAAAGCCTTGCCTCCAATGAGCAGCCTGGTTTCATCCTTTCCAGAAAAGACCTGTTTGGTCTCTTAGCAGTTCACAATATGTTCAGTATGCTTCTCCAGCACCACATCTCAAAGGCACCGGTTCTTCTTCTGTCATCTTTAGTCATTTTCCTGCACTCTTATACATAGTAAGTAATTTTTAAGACCATGGCCTGAATCAGGTGTATCTTAGTCTCTAGACTGACATTGTTGCTCTTCATCACTCTAGAGAGATTCCTAACCACAGATTTTTCCCATTGCAATTTGTCTTTTTATTTCCTGACTGCTGGTGCCAAAATACTGAGAAGTAATGATGTCAGCTTGATGACTATGGTCTGTTGATCCAAGCCATGGTCTTTTCAATCATTTGCTATGCATCAGAGAGCTGGACAATGAATAACAGTGACAGAGAAAGAATTGATGTCTTTGAGCTGTGGTATGTGAGAAGAATACTGAATATCCCATAGACTGTCAAAAGTACAATCAGATACATCTTGGAGAAAGTGTAGTCAGAGTGCTCTTTGAAGGCAAGGATGGAGAAGCTTCATCTTTTGTACTTTGGGCATTTTGCTAGAATTGGCATGTTGTCGAGGTTGGAAAGGGACATTATGCTTGGAAAGGTGGAGGGTCAATGAAAAGAAGATGCATTGATGCAGTGACTTCAGCAATGGATCCAACTGTGGCAGAGATGATAAGGATGACCCAGAATAGGAAAAGGTTCAGATCTGTTACTCGTAGGGTCACTATAAGTCATACTCAACTCAACAGCACCTAACAACAACAACAATCTTTCACAATGGGAACATTGGATGGTTTAAAATCAAGAAATGTGCATGTCAGGGCTGTATCCTTTCTCTGTTATCTATTGAATTTGTATGCTGTGTAAGTAATTTGAGAGGCTGGACTTTATGAAGAATATAGCATCAAGAACACTCATCAACAACCTGAGTTATGCAGAAGACACAACCTTGCTTGCTGAAAGAGAGGAGGATCTGACACACTTGCTGACTTCTGACTAAAGACTAAAGTCCTAATTATGGAAAATATCTCATCAGAAGAAGAGCTGGAGTCTTTGAGCTGCGGTGTTAGAGAAAAATAAATACGTCTTGGAAAAAGTTTAGCCAGAATGCTCTTTGCAAGCAAAAATGACAAAGCTTTGTCTCGCATACTTTTGGGCATGTTATTGGGCGAGGCTATTCCTTGTGCTGTGGCAAAAATGTGAGATTTAAACTCTCAGCCAATATTCAAGATTAACAAACCTCTTATTACAGGTGGATCGAGGACACCAACTATTGCCCAAACTGTTCTGACTCTGAGGAGAAGAAAAGATTGGGGTTTTATATACAGAGATTGAAGATGGCACAAAGTTCATTGTGGTTCACAGTTGCTATTTCTTCATGTTTAAAAGTCATATTGTTTCTGACTTCTCATATGTGTCCAGGCCCCGGGTCAGGTACAGGATGTAGTCAGAGAGTAGTAACCAAGCTCAGTTAGCTTCTTCTAAAACACTCAGCAAAACATATATATTTTTTTTAATTT